TATAGTTGCAGAATCACCATCAAGCAACTCGATATTGTGACCACTAATTAACAGCTCTGCATAATATTCCGGTAATTTTGAAATATTTTCTGTGATTAGACCATTAACAGAAATAATTTTTTTGGGATCAGAAATAAAAACTTTATACATATGCCCTAATTCACGAAAGAAATGTTCGATGCCCAAGCTTGTATTATCAACTTCTTCCCAAAGCATTGCAATTTCTTCACTAATATTGTTTATTGTTTCTTGGTCATTATACACAATGTTCGCATTACATAATTCTTTCCTTTTCGATATAGCGTCATTCCGGAGTTTAGAAGACTCTACTATAGATAGCCTAGATATCTCTTTTTCAAAATGCGCCAGAGCTCTTCTCCTTACTCTAATTGGTAGAATTATAATAGAACTGAATAATCGCATTAATTCTTGTAACTCTGGTGAGTGTTCCCAAAATTGTATACAATCGTGACCACTTTGCATTTTTTGAAGTTGCATAATCTCTAATCTAATATGACTGCAAGTTTTTTGCTTAATAAAATTTATAATTTCCTGAGATTTAACACTCTCAATTTTCTCAGCAAATTGAAGTGTTTCCCCTATTTCTAACGTACTAATTGAAAATTTGCCGGGATCATCAGGATCAACAAAATCAGTATCTAAGAAATCTTTAAACATTTTACAAGCTTCTTTTATTGTTTCATAACTCATTAAAGAATTTGTATTAATTGTATAATTATCCTCTTCACCTACATTGTTCTCAGGATTTACATAGTTGAATATAACCTTTTTTGAACCAATTAAATTTCTAAATTCAACTATTTGATTTTCGTCATGTCCAGGCATTAAGAAAACCAAGAAACAAGAAGGCAATTGCATTAGAAATTCTATTTGATCCGGATAATCTAAAGCATCACCATGTAAATTAGCAAGTAATACAATCTCATTTCTCCCTTCTTCATAATAACTTTTAAAAACATAATTATATAGATCAGCACCACAAGTCTCTTTTGTCAGCCAAACAAACTCAACACTTCCACTAATCATATGTGGAATTCCATAATCGGCTCTTGGCTCGGAGTGTGATGTGAACATGTAGTTTGAAACCATCAACTGATTAAGTATGGTACTTTTGCCTTGAGGATTCATTCCAATCCGAACTGCAACAATTAATTTAAAAGAATCTTCAAAAAGAAAATTTTCTATAATTGATCCATTGCTTGTATGCCATTTGATAGCTGATCCGGTAAATAAAGGAAGCATTACTTTAAACTTTTCTGCATTATCTAAATTGGGCATTAATAAAGGAAGAGCAATTGGAAATTGAGATATAGTTTGGAAAATATCTTGAACAACAGTAGATTCAGCAGAGGCAAATAAAGAAGCAATGCAATCAAATCTAGATAATCTGTTTTTTTTAATTAACTTTTTGCTTTCATTCTTTGATTCATCATCGGAAGATTCATCATCATCATCATTGACTAAATTTGCAAAGTTTTCTGCTTTAAGAATATCAACTCCCCACATTTTAACTTTTTGTCGAATATAGGGAAGAACTGCAGTCACATTTCCATAAATTTTATGAGATGATAATTTTGGTTGAGGGATAAGTTTCCTAAGCATAAAATAATGTTGGGATTCGATTAAAGGCAATTCTTCACCCAAAATTGAGTACCATTTTTTATCTATTTTTAAAACTTTATTTTCTTTTGGTGAAAATGGTGGAAATGGTGGGATTTGAGATGGAATATGTGGTTGAAATGTCGATTGTAATTTCTTATGAGCTTGATGATTTCCACCATATGCAGATTTCTGAAGCCACTTGAATGCATTTTTCCTATCTTTGTTAACTCCAATTCCGTCTAGATAATAAACTCCAAGTTGATATTGTCCATTTATATTTCCATTTTGAGCAGATTTTTTGTACCATTGAAATGCTTTCGCATCATCCTTTCTGACACAAATTCCGTTTTGATAACAAAATCCAAGATTATACTGTCCATTTATACTTCCACCTTGCGCGGATTTTTTGTACCATTGAAATGCTTTCGAATCATCTTTTTCAACTCCAATTCCTTTTTGATAGCAGGCTCCAAGATTACACTGTCCATTTATATTTCCGCCTTGCACAGATTTTTCGTACAACCGAAATGCTTTCACATCATCTTTTTCGACTCCAATTCCGTTCTGATAGCAAAGACCAAGATTATTTTGCCCTAGAGAATTTCCACCTAGTGCAGATTTCTCAGCCCAGTAGAAAGCCTTTTCATTATCTTTATCAACTCCTATTCCATATAAATAGCATGATGCAATCAATCCTTGTGCTAAATGGTTTCCATTATTAGCAGATTCATGGAGAAATTGGAATGTGTCTTCGTTTATATCGCATAAACCTTCCTGAAACCAGTTTGTTAGAATAACTTGTGCTGAACGATTCCGATCTTCAGCAGATTTCAAATACCATTGTAATGCTTTCAATTGGTTTTGTTGAGTGCCAATTCCATCACGATAACAATGTCCAAGATTACATTGTCCTAGATGGTTTCCGCCTTCTGCAGATTTTTTAAACCACTCAAATGCCTTTTGCAAATCTTTCTTTGTGCCTATTTCATCTTTGTAACATATTCCAAGATTATTTTGATCCCAATGATTTCCACTTTGAGCGAATTTCGAGTGTAAAGAAAATTTTGAATTCTGAAATTGGTTCTAAAAAAATTGATTACAAAATCGTCATTATAAAAATTGTCAAAATAACTATATTAAAATATAACAGAATAAAGCATACATACTTTTTCTATCATAGGAGTTTATAAATAATAATGAAGGATTAAGTATTAATGTAAATTTAAAAATATAAATCAAAACAATTAAATATACATACGGATTGAAATTGGTTCATACTCCCATACTACTACACGATTGCTACCGTATTGTTTGGCTTTCCTGCAAGTTTCTTCGGCGTGATTTAATAAGTCTTTAGAACTTTCTACCAAGGAGTTCACTCCAGAAACACCAATGCTAAGCGTAATTGGCGGTAGTTTTTTTCTTTGAAAATAAACGGATAAGTTTCAACAGCAGATTGGATTTCCTTAGCAACTTCATAGGCTGATTCTACATTTGTATCGATGAGAAGAATAGTAAACTCATCTTCATTATATCTAGCAAAAATATTTTTATCACGAACATATTTATTTTGGATCAACTTTACTAATTCTATTAAAACGTAGTCTCCAGCCTCACTAAAGTAGTCCAAATTATAAAACAATAAACTCAAATTTTGACTATTTTTAAATTCATTTTCCAAGCTTTTCCGAAAATATGCAGTGTTATAAATCATTAAAAGTGGATCAATGTAGCTTTTATATTCTCCAGCAGGAAGATATTGAAAAGTACTATGCCCTATTTTAATTATGTCATTTCTTTTTAAAGTATATAAAGTACGAAATTTAAGTTGTTTTCCATTAACCAAAATTGCTGATTTAAAACCAATGCCGCTGATATCAACTTTTCCTTTGTAATTTTTAATTTTTGCATGCTTCTTATTAATTTCTTTGTCATTTATAATAATGTGATTTGAATCTTTTCTTCCTACAAGTATTTCACCTTCGGGAAGGAAAAAGTATTGGTTTCGAGGTGAGCTTTCAATAACTTTTAAGCAAGCTTCCTCTTTTGTTATAAAATTATTTTTTTTATATGAAATTTTAATCTCAGATACAAGTTTGTCCATGTTTTTTGAAGAGAATCTGCATGTATATGCAACTTATTGAAGTTTGCACGGTGCAATTAATTTAAAATTTTCAATCTCTTTATATAGAATACCACCTACGCACGATTTAAGACAAAGACTAATTGTGCGACATAGGAAGGTTGGCTAAATTCCATTAATCATAAAAATGCGTATTATTTTGGAATGTCTTCAAAGCCATGCACGCACGTTACTTTTAAGTTGTACAATTTTTCGAAATAAAGTTTGAGTTATGCGGAAATACGTACAAACTACATTTGTTATTTTCATATGAATAGTTGCTATTAAATACGTTGCAAGAAATCTATAAATCACAATTGTACCTTATAAAGGCAAAATGCGTATAAATAGTGATTCAAATATTTGCCAATTTTATTAAAGTCGATATGGGGTGATTATTTTTGAATACAGACCAAAATATTATAAATATAAAATCGGTCCGGGTTCAAAATAATTACCCATATGGAGTCGATAAGTTTAATATTGATCTTAGTATGTACCTTGCAACTTTATTATCTCTTAATGCGTTAGATAGGTGCAGGCAAATTTGCCTGCAAAAAGTTATATATATATAGTTTTAAAAATTTTTTTATAAAACTTTATGTAATATTTCAATATAATATTTATTAAGATTTATTGTTATTTTTAACTATAAATTATA